AAACAAGAGGCAATGACTGCCGGCCTGGAAGGACGCCCAGGCGGAGGGGTGCAGACTCGCAGCCCTGAGGCGGGGGTTGAGGGGTGGCACCATCTCAGTGGAGGAGCACTGCACTGCTGGGTACCCCACTGCGGTGGTTTGGTGAAGCTCCCCGCGCTAACCGGGCCTTGCCGCCGCCTGCGCACTTGAGAGGCCGGGACTCCTGCTCCCGCCTTGGCCCAAAAGCAAGCCTGCACCCACCCTGCGCCCAGTTCCTGCCCCACCCCACCCGCAGTTCTCGCCCCGCCCCGCCCCCAGTTCCCGTTCCTCCCCATGGGGGCGCTTGCCTGCACAGTGAGTGCCAAGCCTACCACCTGCTCCCCAGAAGGGGAGGTAGTAAAAAATGGGGGTGGGAGTGGGGAGAGGAAAGAATGTGGAGCATCCATGATGAAGAGGTGCTTGAGAACAAGGCTCGGAAGCCTCACGGGGAGGTTTGTTCAGTTTGTCCTGTGGCTGTCCCTTAGGAAAGGTGGAGAGCATGGCTGTGAGGGCTCCCTGCACACTGAATCCAGTTCCATAGCCAACTGGAATTGGCCTCAGTTTCCTGGTCTGTAAAATGGATTAAGCGTGTCCCAGTGCCTTCACTGAGCTTTGAGGGCCAATTGAGATACTATATAAAGAAAATGAGTGAAGACGTGAGAAAGAACAGGAAGGGCGAGCAACACAAAAGAAAGATTGGAAGGAACCTGTAAACCTATTGTCACTTAAATAGGGAATATAGTCAATAGTGTTGTAATGACGGTATGAAGCCAGGTGGGTACTGGAAATATCGGGGAACACTTTGTAAAGTATATGATTGTCTAACCACTATTCTGTAACTAATATAAAACCTGAAACTAATACAAAATAATATTGAATGTAAAGAAATGAAAATAGTGAAATTTTTCTAAAGTTCAAAGTTTAAATAAAGGCTGTAAAGGAAGGAAGGGGGAGAATAAAAATAGTGTTTTTCATTTTACCACTTTATTGTCTTTTCAGTACATGAAAAAGACAGTTGTCTTTATATGGTGCTTTTATACTTTTCTAAGTCATTATCTCATTTGATGTTTAGGGCAACTTAAAGACAAGATAATTATTCCCTCCACTATTCAAAGAAAGGAATCTTGGTGTCTGGCCCCAATGATTCAATCGTCAAGCCCTTATTGTAAAGCAGGGTTAGTGAAATTTTCTGTGAAGGATCATATCTATACTAATAAAAGCCTTGGGGGTGATCTGGCCAGCAGGGGAGCAGTTAGGCATCAATCAGGCCAGCAGGGGAGCAGTTAGGTTGCGATCAGGCTGGCAGGCAGAAGCGGTTAGGGGCAATCAGGCAGGCACGCAGGTGAGCAGTTAGGAGCCAGCGGTCCAGGATTGTGAGAGGGATGTCCAACTGCAGGTTTAGGCCTGATCCCGGCAGTCGGACATCCTGGGATCAGGCCTGTCAGACATCCTGGGATCAGGCCTGTCGGACATCCTGGGATCAGGCCTAAACCAGCAGT